CTTCCTACTGTACAACACGGAAAGCTGAGGATAGTAATATCGACTGCTACCACAAGTCTGCGGTAAGATCATCATTGATCAACGAGGAATGAGGGCGAGTTGCGCCCGTCCTGTTAGGGAAACAAGAGAGATAAAATCCCTTGTTCAAACCTCGACTGATAAGCCGTCGTCATAAGTCATATAATGCCTTGACAGAGCAACGGCATGACGTGATATGGTTGAGGGTGTAAAAACCCGGCCATCTTGACCTGGACAGGTTGATGATGATTTGCAAGTGCAGTTGTGGTGCAACATGACCTGTAGATGTGACTTTCCGGAAAATAAAGAAAATTTTTGAACCCCGGCTGACCCTCAGTGAAAATAGCAACCCGCAAAGCATGACAAATAAGGGAATATGAGAAAAAAAGAACAAAGCCACACCCATACCACCTAGACGTCAAGGTGGAAACAGACACCTGTGAGCGTCTAAAAGCAATAAACCAACCTCTAGACCCTATCCTCTAAAACGCCGTGATCATGTTCGAGGTCGAGATCTTCGTTGAAATGGGCCATTCGTCGTGTGGAATCACATGGCGACAATGGATTGAACCGGGAAGGTCAATCGACATGTGCTGTTTCGCTTCAAGTGGTGCTTTACCACCGACGGTTGTTGAGCGGAAGGGCGTTAGCACCAGCGACGCCGCCACCACCACCACCGCCACGGCCTAATGAGGGTTATTAGGATTTGGACTGCCAGATTCACCTGCGTGAAAATGACTTACCACCGCGCCATCCACCGCCGCCGCCACGGCCGCGATAGCCACCGAAGCGGCCACCTCCACCACCACCACTGTAGCGAGCCATCTCGGCAAGTCTGGGGTCAATCTGCTGCTTAGCTTCTTGAAGGACACCGACGAGCTCACGAGCCTGCTTGGAGTCTGTTAAAAGAGTAAGGTTAGCATCCAAATCGGCCAAGGATAAAGTTGGGGCAGTCCCAGGGGATACTCACTGTCAGTGGTGAAGAAGGTAATGGCAGTACCCTTAGCACCGGCACGACCAGTACGGCCGATACGATGGATGTAATCCTCGGAGTTGTTGGGGTAGTCATAGTTGAGCACGTGAGTAATGTTGCGCACATCTTTTGAAGGACAGTGGTTAGCAATAGCAGGGTTTGGAATAACGACATTCCAGGACGGACGGAGAACACGAAGAATGTCTAAGTATGTTCGGTGATCCTCTGGTAGTACTTCTCTCCTTTGGCAGGTGGGCTGTCCATTGCGAAAATATGCCGGATTAGGATCCAAGGGTTCCAGAGGTCCTTGGGCCATGCATGCAAATCCCCTTGGGAATCTTGGAGACAAGCTTGACGGGAATCAAGAGATGCCTACTCCTCGCTTGTACCACAACTGGGGGAAAACGGTACAATTGAAGAATCACGCGGGCGTAGCATAGTCCACTGTTTCTGCTACGTCACGAACCCAAGACTCCACTCAGATAGACCATGTAGACACGAGGTCAGGCAAGTTCGCGCAATCAAGAGAGCCCCTAGACATAAGAGTAAAGCACAGCACGTACGTATGCTGGAAGTCGCCCGAAATGGGGGAGGGGGGGAAGGGAGGGGTGGGTAATGAATACATACCGATACCACGAGAAGCCACGTCGGTGGCAACCATGATAGGGCTCTTGCCAGTCTTAAACTGGTCCAAAACCCAATCACGCTCGTTCTGCTGCTTGTCACCGTGGATGGAAAGAGCGGGCCAGCCGTCCTGGCGGAGGAAGCGGGTAATATCGTCAGCAACACGCTTGGTGCCGGTGAAGATGAGAATCTTGTTAGTGTTCTCGCGGCCCTCCATGATCTTCTCGAGATGCTTGATCATGCGATCGCGCTTCTCGGACTCGGAAACAACCTCGACGATCTGAGTGATGCGATGGTTGGCAGCCAAATCCATGGAACCGATGTTGACCTGGATGAAGTTGGTCAAGAAGTCGGAGGCCAAGTTGCGGACCTCCTTGGGCCAGGTAGCGGACCACATGAGAGTCTGACGATCAGGGCGAATCTGACCAATGATCTTGCGAATTTGGGGCTCGAAACCCATGTCCAACATGCGATCAGCCTCATCGAGGACGAGGTAGGTGACACGACGGAGGTTGGTCTTGCCAGACTCGAGCATATCGATCAAACGGCCAGGGGTAGCAATGCAGACCTCAACACCGCGAGAAAGATCTCTGATCTGAGGACCCTTGGGGACACCACCGTAGACGCAGGTGTTGCGAATGCGGGATGACTTGCCGAACTTGGAGATTTCTTGCTGAATCTGGACAGCCAACTCACGGGTAGGGGCGAGGATAAGGACGATAGGACCGTCGCCGGGAGCGAGGAGAGGCTGAGCGTTGATGTGAACGATGGCGGGAAGGCAGTAGGTGAGAGTCTTTCCGGAACCGGTCTCGGCAATACCGACGACATCGCGACCGGAGAGGGCCATGGGCCAACCCTGGGACTGAATGGCGGTAGGAGCAGGGAAACCCTGAGCCTTGACCTCATCCATAACGTAGCGGGGGAAACCAGCCTCGTCGAAGGTCTCGACAGGCTTGGGGACGTCGTTACCGAAGATGGCAATAGAGTGGTCGGCGCGGAACTTGTCAACCTCGGCAGCAGAGCGGTTGGCGACGCTGGGGTGCTCCTGGTAGAAGGACTTCTCAAACTTGGGGAGAGTGCCCATGTCCCAATCCTGCTTCTGCAGACCGGCACCGAGAGCAGACATCCTGTCACCACCGCCGCCGCCACCACCGTAGCCGCCGCCGC